CAAAATCCGTCCATGCATAACTGAGATCCGGGTCCGGAATGGTGAAAATGTGCGATTTTGATGCATTTTCGGCCTTAAAATGGCCGCTATTCGGCTATCGTTAATCGGATCATGAAAAAAATGCATGTGCATATGTCCCATATAATGTGTGATGTATGAGTGAAGTTTGAACTTAATCGGTCCATGCATGTTCGAGATACAGGTGATCACGGACGCACGGACGGACGGACGGACGGACGGACACACACAGGGCAAAACATACGTCCCCGTTTTCGGACTGCGTCCGAACGGGGACTAATAATGCTACTACAAACAAAATCAGAATTTCTAGACCCTCAGAGAGTTACAAATGGCCACTTCCTGTTAAACTTCAATTCATGACGGCTGCCAAACCAGTTGACCAATCAAAATTATGAATGTTAGGTACACCAGTATCATAGTCCCCAATGTGCTTGAGAAGTTTCAGAAGTCAACGTTGTTCAAGTTCTGGGGCGTCAAAAAAATTGCGGTAGTAGAAAAACTCAAACAAAAACAATAGGGTCCAAACAGACATCCTGTCCCGGCGTTCGCAATTTATTCAGGCCTATTATGTTTATACACAATATTTATTAATAACAGATTAATATTAGGTATGACCAACTATCGACAGTCTAGTCACTATACAAAAGCCACACAAAGGACAAAATCAGTCAAGAATGTACATACATGTACAGTAATAAAGTAGAATATGAAATGGAATGCAAAGCATCATACATGTACAGTAATAAAGTAGAATATGAAATGGAATGCAAAGCATCATACATCAACCCAGATTTTCAAAACAGAGACAAGAAGAATTTAAAACATCCATGTTATGTTTTATTCCATTCCCTTATGAGCCAGATGGAAAATCTTGATATGAAACCACATTTATTTGACAGCTGAGAAGGCTCTAATTTGGGCATTATATTTTGTCAAATAGCAAAATCATTAATTGTGCAAAAACAAAATTCTAAATACCATTCAATTAAAAATTTAGGAGTTTAGATCATACAAATAGCTTGATAAATTGTTAGAATTAATAGAATGATCAAACAGGTAAAGTCAAAATGCAGCTGATAGCTTAAAATGTACACATGGGATAACCTTGAAAAACAGTAAACTAGAAGTAACTTTATGTAATCACAAAGGATAATCCTTTTTGAAATATCTGT